TACAGATGCCGCTCTAACGCAAAGAGGTGGAAGACTCGGTTCGGCGTCCTCGACCCATCCATCAAAAGAGTACTCAATATGCTCGGAAGGGTCATTAAAGCGATCAGCGATTCTTGCCCAGAAACTGTCCCGAGATCTTCCTGCGTCAAGCTGCGCTCTTTTCAGCTCTTGCTGTAACAAATGGATAGATTGGCGACAATGTTCATTATGGCGGAGCATTATGATAAGCCTAGAAAATTCGGAGAGTGTAAAAGCAGGTTCACTTCCAGCCGAACTTGTGCCTAATTCAGCCGTATCACCCTCTCTTAGATCACCAGCAGCATCCAACACAGTGTCAACCTCTGCATCTGAGGGAGCAGGGTACACACGCGCGCGCTTGGAAAGGACGGGGTTGTCTATTTTCATCATAAACTCATCAAAAGAGGGGCAAAGCAGATTGGATGAGATCGTCTCTCTAAACGGAGATACCTTCAATATGAAGAAAAACCACATAGCGATCGTTTCTCAACATGATCTCGTTGAGTTTTCCGTATGCCTCCCTCTTCCAATGCCTCGCCATTTTTTGATGCTCCTTCTTCTTCAGGGATTTAAAGTATGAGAACATGAGACGTCTGTCCTTGACCTCGGGTGTTTCTGGAGCAGCTCGACTCTTCCCCTGAGAATGTGGGTCGAGCACCCCGTCATTGCGAGCAGTAATATTGTCCTGACCAGACGCGCCGATACTCGGCGGAAATGACGGGGGGTTCACGAAGAGCTTACAGGGAGATGGAGGACAAGGGGAATCAAAAACGGAGCTTGCCCCTGGGTTCTGGGGAGGGGGTATGGAAGGAGATTCATTGTGTTCCTGCGCGAAGCTGGCATCGAGTACACGTGCAGTGTCGCAAGCGATCTGATCGGCAGCTCGGTGTGTTGCAGGTCGTGTCTGCGTAAAATGTCGAGGAGATCGCCGGAGTGCAGGCGGGGAGCGGGGAGCTTTGGAAATAGTATTACGCGCCCTTGTCATCGCGCTTGACTTGTGTGGGTTTCTTCGGACAGAGAGGGAGAACTTCTAGCATATAAAGGGCGCGGAGAAAGGCGAGGACGAAGGCGGGTGAGGGCATGGCGGCGAGCTGGGCGGTTCGAGCGGGGAGGAGCTGAGGAATGTAGATGCGGCAAAATGGCGGGTTCAAAATCGCGTGACCGCGCGTCACTGTATGTCACCGTAGTGGGCACTGGGCGGCCTCTGATGGGCGCCCGACGGCTACGATTTGAGGCCGTGAGGGGCGCCGGGAACCGTTCCTGTGCACACGCTTCTGTAAGCGAGCTAGCATGTGGGGGACTACAGCGCTCACTCTATAAAATGGCGGGGGAAGGTACTGTGTCTGGTTTGTAAAATGCTAGCAAGTGACTGTCGCAATTTCACGTGGGCGTCGTGCATGGCGGTGGAGCGGGAAGTGGGGTGAGGTTCGTTGGGGCCGGGGGCGGCGCGGTCGTTACACGCGGGACGGCGGGCTGCGGGGAGGAGGGCTCGGGGTGATCGTGGTGGTGGTGGTGAAGGTGCGAGTTAGGGTCCATGGCGAAATGGAATTTGTCGGGGTTCCCACAGGAGAGCTCCGGGTGATATGCAAGCTCTGCGCCAAGCCGCTTTGTGGTGAAAGCGGGCAAGCCCGGGGGCGAGTTGACGGTCAAGGCGATAAGTGGGTATGCGGACATGACACGCCTAGGGCCGGGGGTAAAGGAAGGGGGGGAAGGAATATGGGAGGAGGGAGGGGGGATGGAGGGGGTGTAGCATAAACACCCCCAGACGACTGGAGGTGTATGCGCAGTTCGACCTGTAGACCCCGGATCGGAGAAGGGGTGAAGCGGGCCAACCAGCTACGGAACCGAGCTCGGGCCCGGGTAGCGGTGGTAGAGCGGGAGCGAGCAGGGACGCGCGCACGCACGAGCGGATCGACGCCTCGACGCCCCGGAGCAGCACTGCGTGACGTACCAGTGCTGACGGGCGGAGGCGGTTCCGTGCTCGCTCGAGTGCTGCGCGTCCACTCCGGCTCGGCTCCGACTAAACGCGCGCGAAGAGCGAAGGCGACGTTTAGAATAAGCTGGGTGGACTGACCTTGGCGGTCGGTTGAGGACAAGCCCGTGCTTGTCCCCTTCCGCCGCCGTCGGTCCGCTCCATATTTAATATACAAAACAATCTATCATAACACTACAGTACCGAGGTACTGTAGTGGGCTACTGTAGTGCAGGTCGGCCTGCACTGTAATACTGTCAGCTATGTCGAGGCTGACAGTACACGTATTACTCGTGGTGCGTACGCGCTTCGTTCGCGCGCTGTACACAGGTGCACGTGTATGCGCGTGTCCCCTGTCCCCGTGGTGTACACGTGGACACGCGCAGTTGTACTGTAGAGCTCGACGCTCTACAGTAGCTGATCTAGTTCTTGATCTAATCTAATTTAAAGCCCCGGGGGGGGGGTTATGCTACAGGGGGCTGGATTGAGATATGAAACGAAAGATATGGAAGGGATGGAGGGTGCGGGGAGAGACTGTGTCGGTGTCGATGTTAGGAAGATGACGCGGTGGCGGGGACAATAGCATGTCGGGGGATGTGTGTTGGTCACGGTACTGAGGAGGTGAGGAAGATGGTGATGGGGCGTGGTGGTCGGGCGCGAGGCAGGGGTGGCAGGGAGGAGGGGACGTGGTCATATTTGGGGGGGAAGGGGGGTTGGTGCCGGGGGGGAGGGAGCGAGGGCAGGGTGGTTCACAGGAAAGGGATTTCGGCGAAGCCACTTCATCATCGATCATGAACTAGAGAGCAGCCTCCCCGGCTTCTCTCTACTTCATGATCGATGCCAAGGAGGCATTTGATTTCAAAAAGCTGAACTCTGGGTACCCTTCTGCCGTCCGGTGGTGCTCCGTTTCCTAAACAGAGTGTGAAATGCTAGCAAACGACTGTTGCAAATTTCACGTGGGCATCGAGGCGGGGGAGGGCCGAGTTATGCACATAAACGCGCAACGAAATCTCGCACGGGGTGCGACAGGTGGACACGTGTGGGCGTGAGGCGTGACCGAAGGCCGGCTGGGGTTGCCAACCCCAGCAACCAATGGTTGCTGGATGACTATTCGCCAGCAATTGCTTGGCCAGACAAGGGCGCCCCACTGCTATCGTGGCTCAACGGGCGCGGGCCTCCCCACCGAAGGCTTGACAGCCAGGACAAGGCGACCTGGACCGCCCCGAACTGCTCATGTATGCGAGAAAAGGCCGCGCGCGTTGGTGATACGGTGACTGCGAAGGGCGCCGGAGGTTTGACCCCCCTCCGCAAGCAGAAGGTCGAGAATAGGAGGCGCGAAACCGCGGCTTTTCACAGTCGTCCGATGCATGCGGCATGGCGGCTCTTTAAGGTAGTGGCAGTGACCTGCATCCTAGACTACACGCGCTAGCAAGCCCAGCGAGGAGACCGAGCCTTGATAGGACTTGCGCGTTCCCACCGCCAACCCACACTGGTTTCGGCCACGATGACAAGGTAAAAACACAGGCTAACTACTTTCGACTTCTTTTTCGGAGGCCCTCTGCATCTATCACCGGTGGTCTCGATAGGCCCCTTCTTTCTATAATGTCAACCATGCTCCTCCGTTTTCTAGACAGCTCACGACGGGCTTCCTTGGTATTCGCCACAATCTCTGCGGCGTCATCCTTCATCCTGCGATACCAACCCTGCTCATCGCCCTCCAGTTCGGCCAATTCTTCCCCAGTAAAACTTCTCGTAATCCTCACATCTGCACGATCGAGAACAAAATTATGCAACTTCATAGAAAGAACAATTAAACGCGCGTTAGTGTGTAGCGAAAAACTGAGTTGGCTCAAGATCCTCCACTTACCGACTAGCATCCCAAAAGCTTGCTCTACATGCATTCGGAGGGAAGAATGATAATAATTAAATGCGTCTTCCGCGTCCGTCGCACTGGCTGCAGGAAAGGGCGTAATCAGAGACTCCGTACAAACATATGCCTCATCCCCCGCTATCCAACACTCGAAATGCAACTTGCCAGATTCTAGATAATGCCCAAGTGCCGATACAGAGTGGGCCACAGAGTCATGAGTTGAACCTACGCAACGCGCCGAGCAGCATAAAAATCTATAGTCAGCGTCAACTACAGCCTGCACAGGTAAAGCATAATACAGCTTTCTACAAAAGAAAGTGCTCGGTGCGTGGCACCACGCGGGCTTCTTGATTTTGATGGCTATGCCGTCTAAAGCGCCAACGCAACCAAAAAGCGGAGACGGGGGATTACGAGACATCTTGAAAGTTTTTGCCGAGTGACGTAAACCAGACACTGTGGACGGCAACCCGGGCAGCTGCAATCTTTCTGACAATACTGTACACGTAGAATGAAACACATTGTAAACTGATGTCTTAGACATCTGATAAGTACCCATTAAGTCTAGATAACTTGCGCCAGCCATCATCCTCAGCGTCCCGGCAAGGCGTACATCCGGTGGAATGGTCCGTCGTTTTGCCTGTCGTCCCATTTCGATATTCTTCTGGAGAGACTGCCTAACGCTACTAAGCAATTCATGAAACGCTTGGCGTGGCACTCTGAAAGCCCTGCAGAACAAAGCGTCATCATAAACCAGAGTCAAATTTTCAAACGTCAGTTGTTCCCCCAAACGCAATTCCAGGCGTACTTTCCGCGTTTTCTTGTCTTTTTTGGAATTGAGAAGAATTGCCGCAGCCGCGAGCAGGTACAAAAACATCCTTCTACGCCGCATTCGCAATAGGACGAGCTTAATTCGGCGGTGGATTTCAGGACTTAACTTCATTGGTAGATAAGAAGTTTGAAACCCTGACGAAGGAAAGGGAGTGCTGGGGAGGACTGTGTTGGATACTGGCGGTTGCTGATCTATCATGACCGTTTTGGTCATGCACATCGAGGGACCTCATTATAGCAACACGTCGTCCAGCTTTGCTTTTGTCGAGCTACAGGGAGTCAGACTGGGCCATGTGTATGCGCGAGGAGGCGTTGCTGTACCTTCCATGCTGCATGGATCTGCAGACCGTCCAGACTCTGTTCCATTTCCGAGGAGTGGAACTTTGGGATGGCATTACAGTAAAAACTACAGCAATGTGCTTCCGATTTTAGTGAAGAACTCAATAAAAACGGGGCGAGGGAAAGGAAAAACGAGAAAAAAGTCCTTTGTTAGGACTGGCCCTCAACCGTCTACAGAAAACAGACACGCATGCATGAAACATGCCTCATTTCTCATTTTCTACTTTCTACCCGCCGTTTCGTGAATCCACCCATAAATCCTATCACCTCAACTCGCCTACACAACTTCACCATTTCCTCTTTTTTACCCCAACAATACGTAAACGCACCTTTAGGATAAGGTCGTCTAGACAAGTCTTGTCTAGACGACAAGCAATTTGCCATGACTGACCTCATATGAGGCCAGCTTTTTTTTGCAAAAATATATAAATTAAATCGAAAATTTAAAACATTCAGTTTGGACACCATTTCTTTTAACGTATACGCGCTCGACAATAACATCTTGCAAAACATTGCCATGGCGGTTGTCAATGCACAGAGAGACTAAGAATCTAATCAAGTATCAATGATGAGTTGACTTTCTAAACAGGCGTTTTGGTTTCGAAGATATCAACATAAAACGTTTTGAGGTTGGTTAAAAAAGGCTCCTTTTTGGGCATTTTAAAAATGGCTGCAGAACACGTGCAGATCTCACCAAACTCCACCCTTCCACAACGCAGAAGTCAACTGCCGTGTCGAGAGTATCTTTTTTCCATCTTGTTGAGCTACCCGAGGTAGCACAAGTCGAGAAAAATAAGTTGAAAAGTGACCTCATATGAGGTCATTTGTCACCTAGACACTAGAACGGGAGCTGGCTTTATCATAAAAACCCTCAAAAAAAATCAGAACACGTCACACCAATTTGAAGAAAAACCGAAACTGGCATGGGATACAACGACGGCTCTATATTGGACCAAGTGTCCCAATCAAACTACAGAGATAGAAAACCAGCATGCCTGTTTGATGTGATAACACTTTCGATGATTGCATCTCCTCGACAACTGCATCCAAGCGCCCGCTACCTTACATCTCAAATGGAAGGACGACTGTATCACGCAACTTGTGATCCAGAGTTCTCGCTGTTTGGCGAACGACTTGTGTCTAAGGAAGCTCGCAATGTAGTACAATACTGCATTGTACATACAGCTTGCGCCTGCGCCATGAAGGTAAACGTTACAGTACTGTTGTAGCATAGCGTCGTAGATGTGCATACCCGATAGGACCCACCCGCCACACCGCCACACCGAACCCGGGTTGCATGTGGAAACGTCGTACTCATGTTGGACACACGCCCCTGTCGGTTGCGGGAAGCGGAAGGACATATCGCATTCGAACGAATATTCGCAACCAGAAATCGTGGCGAACGCTGGAATGCGACGACTGTCGCCGGATAAGGGATGAATGCAGGAGAGAGCTGCAGTTTGCAGAAAGGCGAAGGAGGAGAGCAAGGCGGAGAGAGGCAGGAGGCAAAAGAGAGGCAGTTACCCAATAGCTCCAAAGTCCCTGAATGATCTGTCAACAAAGCGGTCCACGAGAGAGTCGTGACAGCACATGTACCGTACCGTTACAGTATCTAGCCCTTGGCGGTCTATAGTTAATGACCCCATTGGCATATTGCAAAACAATAATCCCTCCGACGGATCTCAGATTGCATCAACACCTGCTCTGCTGTGTACTCCAGTACCATTCCGTATCTTCACATCTCGCATGGAGATAATCCTGCACAACGAGTCGGAAGCAAGTATGAAGGCAAAGTCTTGCATCCAAACTCCCTTCGACTCGGCGTTGCGTCTTGATTGGTGTGTTTATGATGCAGACCCCGTGCTGAGACCCCCAAGAATGGGATGCACATCGCATATGATAAAAAAGTTTATTTAAAACCAGGGAGAACCCGCCCGAGAATAGTGCCAATGCCATTTTCTCTCGCGTACCGGACCACATAGCGAATCTGGTGTACCCATCTCCAGAGAATGTAAAACTCCAGGAGGACAGCGTAAGTATTGTTTGTGGGCCCGTGTGAAAAACAAAAACAAAACGCTACTTGCTATTCGATGGAATCAGGTGATTAACGGACTGACTTCTATTGCATCCGTCATTGATCCTCTTGTGATAAAAACTTGGTGTGGCATCCTCTGTGAGCCCCAATCAACAGTATAATATCCAAACCCATAATACAGAGTCCGTAGTATCAGGTGGTCAACGAACGAAGAAAGTCGCAGGTCTGGCTACCCTTGGGTAGATCACGCAATGTGGAAGCAGTGCAGTAGTGCCGTGCCTATGCTGTAGCTTGGATGCAACTTCCCAAAACACGTATAAAACCCTTGCGCTAGGAAAGCAAAACCTCCCCACTCATCCCTTCCCTGCAACAGCAAATCGCCTGCAACAGCAAATCGTTTCTCACTTCAGCAAATTCTTCGCCTCTGCACTATGAAGTTCTCCCTCGCCATCTGCCTCCTTGCCTGTCTTGTGGCCGTAGTTGCGGCTGTTCCGGCGAAGCCTCGCCTTCCCAAGCTTGGAGAGGTTAGCCGCCAATTTGACCCTGACTGTAAGTGTTCTATCATCCAGGAAATGTTTTTGGGCGACAATGGAAATCTGCAACTCACACCAAAAACTCTCGAATCTGTGTCCACTACCTCGTCTTAAATTTGTTTCACTTCTTCTTCGCATTCATTAGGTCCGGGCAACTATCCCCCTGGTCTAGAATTCTGCTGTTATCCGTGGGAGGAAAACAACCCTTTCTGCCAGTACAACCGTTTGTAGCTCTTCTCTCGTCATCTCGGAAGTTGCTGCTGTTCTCTTCCTTTCTTAGGTTGCTTTGATAGGCATCTGGTCACCCGACATTACGCAGCGCACGAATCAGAGAGATCTCGTAAACGAAATTAGAATTTCCAGACGTTGTGCCCACCTCCCTTTCTGGGATTCATTCGTATACGCCAATCGGCGGAGTAGTGCTCTTCATGCATTGTCGTTCAGACTTGTTGCAACATGGACACATCGGCTGTAGTGATATTGAGGATCATGCCCAGTTGTCGCAATCTTCCGAAAAACTAGTGGTATGGACGGGGGCCGTAGGGCAACACAACCTTCGAATGCCATCTTGACAAAGATCCGAAGTTTTTTAATTAATGAGACGGAGGCGGAGTCTAGTAGACTACAGCCGCATTATTGGATGTAGACTCAGTCTACATCCAATAATGCGGCTGTAAAGAGTGGCTGTAATGAGTACTGCCTGACTAAGTCCTTGTTGCAGATGGTCATCTGTGATTGGCTATAGTTTTGATTGCATCGCGAATATCTCTAGAGGTTGTATCTCTGGAGGTTGTATCTCTGGAGGTTGTATCTTCATGCGTCTCTGTCAATCTGGTCCCGAGACAAACAACGAGAGTTGGAGAAAGGTAAAGTTTACTCGGGCTACCAGACCGCGCTCACCTTTGTAGATCCCCGCTAACGCCGAGACCACGTAGTGGTCATTAGTTTCGTCCGACACCGCCCCTCCATCGTCACACCCATTAGGCCCTGCCTCGTCACACCCATTAGGCCCTGCCGCTGCTGTGGCGGCAGGGACCGCTAGCGCCGGAACCTCGGCCGGTCGCCGAGGGGCGAGCACAGTAGAGAATGACTCTTGACTATGCTATATTCTGACAACCCGAATGGCGTGAGGTCACAGAGCGGCCGTCGCCGCCCACCTAAATAATACTGTACACCGGAGTGCCAACTGTAGTCCAGTATCCTTAGTATCCTTCCCCTCTCATACCTCAACCATCGCCACATCGACAGTCTCAACGATGTGAATGGATACGAGACAATGCCTTGCTCACGACCGCGATTTCGGGTTGTTTTTTCATTTCTGCTTTTTGCTTGTTTATTCATGCAGAAACTGAGAAACTTGATGATTCTTCATGAAGAAACGACTTCAGACGATGGTAGCCACGACTTACACGTTACATCGCCATGATGGAGATGGGCTACAGGGACCCTAGGAAGGCATGGGGGATCTGGATTTGGATGGTTGATCGCGATTATCGGTGGGTCGCCTGAAGAAGGCCGAAGTGGTGATTTTTTCATTTTGCAGCATTATCTGGCAGTTTTTGCGCGCAATTGCGCCCAAAAACATGATTTAATGAAATCGCGGGCTCACGAAGCATAAAGCATTTAAATCATCTGCACATACGCAGTGCTCCCAATATCACTCTGAATTGCCTATACTATACTGTACTTCGTAGGCTGAAACCCCTAACTAGGCCTTAATAGATACTTAATAGATAGACACCCATCTGCCTACTTCCTTTGCTATCGTGCTGCTTGTCGTCACACATCACCTCACCCACCAACATCTCTGAAAGAGAATAGACCGTTTTAAGAAAAAAAAAAAACCTGCAGCTACCTACTACAATACCATCCCAGGGAGCTCAATCAACCACGCCCCCTCACGGGCTAACCGGTCCAAACACCCTAAACCCTGTGGTGCAGCTCTTCTGCCTCAGCTGACAGATCGAGCAAAACCTCTTCCCATTACTCGCGAGCGGCCGCGCATCCCCGACTGCACAAATGAGAATGCACGCGAACGAGCAGTCCGGCCCGGGGTTGCCGTCGCTCCTCCTCGCCCACGCGCGGCACGTGCTCACGATCCCGCTCCCCCTCGGCAGCGGCACCTTGCACACGTGCCTAGGCCCGAACCGCGTGCACCTCCCCACGGAGCACTTGCGCACGTTCCTGACCCTGCGGCAGCGGCCGCTGTTCGGGCCGTCCGCGGCCGGGAACCCAAAGTCGCGGATGACGCACGTGAGCCCCGTCTTGCACGGCACCGGGCGGATGCGCGACCCGAGCGTCGAGCAGCGCCTTCCGTTGCCCAGGCACCCGATCCCGCGCTCGGCGCAGCACCGCCCGGCCTCGAACGGCGGGATCGGGCGCATGCGGCACGCGTCCGGCGCGCGCACGGGGCCGAAGAAGGCGAACCGCGCGCGGCACGAGGCGGCTTGCAGCTTGCACAGGTTGCAGTACTCCGAGC